CAATGCCCTCCCAACTCACGCACTCGTGTATTTAAGAGACATACACTCAACCTAATAGTCGACTCGAAATATATCAAATCATTCTTTGCATTGATAAAAAAAAAACTAATTTCACATTCATACAACTCTATGCACACGGTCATAAGGTCTTTTAAGCTTGTAATGTAAGGCTAGGGTAAAGGGTAGGAAATATTTGGGAAATGTGAGAGAAAAGCCATGCTTAAAGGGAACCAAATCCTAATAAAACCAAAGTCAAAAATAAATAATGACTAATCATCTCCAACATACTCAACTCCAGCAAAAATTCACCAAACAAACCAACCAATAATAACAATATTTTTTAACACTTACAATAAATCACTCATAAAAATATAATAATATAGAACTTGAGTGAATAACAAACTTTATTTTCCAAACTCTGATTTTCATTGAAACTCACTTTTTTTTCAACATATTTCTCACTTTTTTCTTGAACTTTTTTTTTTCCATAACACTTTTATTTTTCCAAGGATATTCAACTTTTAAACACGTCAAAACAAAAATATAATTAAGAACAAATTACTTCTCAAAACCCACCCAAATTGTGCAAATAATGTACACACTACAAACTCCCCCACCTCACTCACTAATAGCTCCCCCAAGCCAAGCTTGGGACTAGTAACCAATGGGGCAAATATGGCTTGTAATGTGGCTAATAAACAACAAAAGGACACAAGCAACAACATGGGAAGCAAGAAGGAAACAAATGTGTCTAAATCATCTGAAGGCCACCTAAAAGAACAAATGCTTTCGTCCTCCACAATGTGCATAATAGTGAATCATACAAACATTACTCATAGTTGCAAACCAATACTCAAATTCATTGACATACCAGGAACTAACACTCATTCCTAACCAAATGAACTAGTCAAGCACTATATTCACAGGTAGTTGGACAAAATTGACGCATGTAAAGGTTCAAGGCAATCAAACATCAAATCATGATCAACTAATCCACAACATTTATCATCAATAACCAAGAATCAAAACAATTTTGAAAAATTTTAATTAAGGGGCACAGGGAAGCATGATTCATAATTCATTGGAACGTTTTTTTTGGATTTTTTTTATTTTTCAATTTTTTTGTATTTTTCATATAGGAAAGCAATAAAACTACACTAGAAAACAATTAAATCTATGCTAAGAAAGCGTTAAAAACTAAACTAATCACACCAAAGAAAAATAAAAAGAAAAGGGAAAGAAAGAGTACCTATATATATAAGAAATCCCCCTAAGCTAAATTAGACAATGTCTTCATTGGCTTAAAGGGAAGCTAGTAATCTAAGTGACTACCCCTCATCATCGAACTCGTATCCACCACCGTCCCAAACATTGCAATGCATCACCTTGGTACAATTTTGGACAAAAAATAAACAAATTGTTAGTAAGAGAAGAGGCAAAAACGAGTCATGTTCACTATTTTGCTCATAACGTTTTTTATAAAAATTATAATTAAGTGATTCCAATTTTATTAGAAAGTAGACTGGAAGATCTTTCCAATGATAGGTCACACGTAAAATTTAGTTTATAAATGCAAAAGTTATGGCCTGTCGAAGTTGAGCAGTTTTGCTATCGCGCTCTCGCGCACTCGCGCTCGATCGGGCGAGAGTGGCCCGATCGGGCCCGACTCTAAGGTCCGAACTGGCGTCTTCTTCTTACTTACTGCTCCAAATTCTTTTCTATACTTGATTTCCTTCGTTTTTCCACAAGATTGAGCATTTATCACTCGATCGGGTGGAACTTTCACTACGGGCTCAAACTCTACAACTTGTTTCTCAATCTCCACTAGTTCATCTTCAAACCCGAGTCCAACACAATTTAAAGCTCTTTCTATAGCATCCACTTCATCTTTCCATGTACTAGTTTTTCCAGCACAAGATGCAACACAAGATACCTCCTCCATGGGATTTCTAACGGGAGCTTGGGGCTTATTAGAAAAATTATGTACATCAACCACACCAATACTAAAATACTTTTCCTCTAACATTGGGCTTTTAGGGACATTATTTAGATTAAAAGTAATATTATCATCCCCTACACGTAAGTTTACCACTTTTGACATCTATTATTGCTCCTGCAGTATGAAGGAATGGTCTACCCAAAATAATCGGAATTTGCAAATCTTCCTTCATATCAAGAACAACAAAATCAACAGGTATATAAAGTTTACCTACTCTAATAGGAACATCCTCTAAAACACCTATAGGGTATTTAACAGAACGATCAGCCATTTGCAGAGTAATATTGGTAGATTTTAATTTACCCATATTTAATTTAGAGCTCACAGATAATGGCATAACACTTACACTAGCACCCAAATCACATAATGCTTTTTCAATCATCAGATTACCAATATGACATAGAATAGAAAAACTACCCGGATCTTTTAGTTTAGGTGGAGATTTATTCTGTAATATAGCACTACATTCTGCAGTAAAAGCAATAGTCTCTATCTCACTAATAGATCTTTTTCTAGTCAAAATTTCTTTCATAAATTTAGAATATGCAGGAACTTGAGTAATTAAATCTGTGAAAGGAATTGTTACCTGCAAATTTTTCACAACCTCCAGAAACTTACCAAATTGCTTATCCAACTTACTCTTTAAATGTCTATTAGGGAATGGAAGTTTGATAGCAAGACCTTGCACATCTCCACTCTTATCCTGGGGTTTACCCTGCAAAGGATTATCAGAAAAGGTAGTTTTACCATGTAGCCCTGCAGGGCTAGTAACAACATTGTTTGGTTTAACAGAATCAAGATTAGCAATTTTTGTTGTAGCAGATTCATCATTTTTGGGCATAGGAGGCCCATCATAGTGTGAACCACTCCTTAGAGTAATTGCATTTGCGCATTCTGTTGTTTGTATTGGCTGTGATGGTAGGGCTCCCTGCTGGCGAGTTTGCAGAGTAAAGGAAAGTTGCGCAATCTGAGTATCTATTATTTTATTGTGTGCTATTAATGAGTCAATTTGCGCACCTCTACTCTGCATCTACTTCTGCATATTGGCTAACATCGTTTTGATTTCTGATAGGCCAGAATCAAATGGAGGTGTAACAACCTGTTGTGGTCTCTGATGTGGAGGTTGATAGTACCTCTGTTGTGGTTGTTGTACCTGTGGTGGAGGGTTAAGCACATTCGTACTATTGTACGACATATTTTGGTTATTTTTCAACCCTGTATTGTAGGTGTTAGAGTATGGACTAATTTGCTTATAGGTTTGAAAAAAATTAATCTTCTCAATTGAACTCCTACAGTCATGTGCCCAATGACCTATAAGACCACAATTTTCACAAAATATTGTAGAGTTAGTACCAATAGCAGAAACATTAGCAACGGAAGATGAATTAGAATTATTAAAACTGTCTAGTTTCTGGCTAATAGAAGTCAATTGTGTCTGCAAAAAGGATATAGAATCGACTTGGTGTTTTCCCTTGTTTGCAAACCCTCTGGATTTCCATATTGGGATTTATGAATAGCCATATCTTCAACAACCTGTCCTGCATCTTCCACATTAAGATTCATGAATCTCCCACTAGCTGCAGAATCTAGAATTGACCTAGATGAATTTCCAAGTCCATTGTAAAAGGCTTGGATCAACTGCCATTGTGCCAGATTATGGTGGGGGCATTCTCTCTGTAGATCCTTGAACCTCTCCCAAGCCTCATATAGAGTTTCATCGGCCTCTTGGGAAAAGTTCTGAATAGCATTCCTTAGTACAGCTGTTCTCTCTACAGGGTAATATTTATTATAAAAATTCAAGGCAAGAGTTTCCCAGTCAGTATTACCAAGTGCAGTTCTATTCAAACCATTAAACCATAATTTAGCTTTTCCACATAAAGAAAAGGGAAAAAGAATCTCCTTAATTTGGTCTTGCGTGACCCCGGCTTGTCTAATGGTGTTGCAATACTGGCAGAAATCTGCAACGTGAAGATTAGGATCTTCACCCTTAGCTCCACTGAATTGCTTCCTCTCTATCATAGTGATAAATTGGGGTTTGATCTCAAATTGAACTCCATCTAGAGCCGGAGTGGGAGTAAGGTGCGGGAAATCTGTGAGCTTCGGCTGCGAGTAGTTGCTAAGCTTGCGAACAGGAGGAGGTGGTGGTGGTGTAGTCATATCTGATTCTTCATCTGTACTAAACAAATAAATATGAAAAACTGTCCCAAAGAACTTACGTTCTATGAGACGAAAAAAATAAATAAAAATAATAATCTAGACTAAAAAAATTAATCAGAAATAAAAATAAAACCGTCTCCCCGGCAACGGCGCCAAATTTTGACAGGCTGAAGTCGTATCACCTAATCAAAAGTAATTCCTAAACCACTAAATAAAATAGACAGGGAAGTAGGGTCGAATCCACTGGGAAACGAGTCATTTTATTCCTAATTAATTAATATAATCTAGATTATAGAGTAACAAATTATTATTATCGAAGGGAAATTAAACTACTAAGAGTAAAAGTGGAAAAGAATTAAAGTAGGAGGAGAAACAATGAATAAAAGACCTAGGGCATAGGGTCACCAATAAATAATATTCTAGGGTAAAACATAATAATCAAACATCAATGCATCAATTAATCAGATCATTACGGGCTTTTGCTACGTATTACAATCACAGAATTAATCTACCGGTATTAAATCTCATCTCTCGAATCTCGACTTAACCATTTTTAAATTAACCTGCCTATTGAAACTAGACCTAAATATCAATTCTCATCTCTCGAATCTCGAATCAATATTTTCAAACTCATGCATAAAAGATCAGGCCTAATCTAGTCACAGGGCATTAAATCAATCAATAGGAAATTAATCTAGCATTGATAATTAACAACAATAAATTACCCCTTCATATTATTTATAGATCCCCACAAACCTTAGCAAGAAAACTACTCACACATAATTAAAATTAAGCTAAACAAAGCAATTAAATTAAGCATAATAAAAACAATAATATGAAATACAAAATTAAGAAAATAACAATAAGCATATTAATTTTAATAATAACAAAACAAGAAAGCAAGTAAATTGAAATCTCAAGCTAAACTAAAACGAAGTCTAATAAAGGAACAAAATTGACGAAGCGAATAAAATTACTAAACTAAAATCCTCAGCATGCAAATTAAAAGGCTAACTAAAGCAAGTTACGGAAAAAAAAACTATAATTAAAACTAAGACTAAAATTAAAGTAACAAAAAAGCTAAAACTTAAAACTACTCATCCGTAACTAACTCCATCCTTTTAAAGGAAAAGGAGTTTGTTTCCCAGTCAAACTCTAATTCCTCCAAGGGTAATCATTAACGTTGCGTGAAATTGGAGCAAAGGCCCCTAGAAGTCAGAAACCCACATCAGCGAATTAACTAGAGTAAAGCCCAAGGAATTTGCAGGCCCAGTAGTCTTCACGCCCAGCAACCTCTTTCTTACTTGCTTGGATTTGCCAGCTCAGGCCCCTTCGCTTTTGGCCCAATTTCCTTCCTTAATTGGTCTGTGATAGTAACTTGTGAAATCTCGGACCTTCTCATGTATCGAGCTCTTAATCACCAAACTAAATTTAATTAGCTCGATCTTAGGCTTAAAATATGCGGTCATAAAATTTGATCAAACTCCAATGTCTTTGTAATGGCTCAATAAGCTCGGGAATTGACATAATTCTGCAAATTCCTACAAAATAATACCAACTCTACAAAAACACTAGAAAACATATATTAATAATAAAAATAGCTTCGCAGAGCTCAAAAAAGCACAAATATGACCGTGGGACGGGGAATAAAATATATATAAAATAAACTCATCAATAGAAACTGAATTTATCGGCATGAAATAAAAAGAATTGAAATAAGAAGCTAGGAAAAAGAACACATACTCATGAAATTACTGCTTTCATTGCTAAAACCATAGAAAACTTCAGAATCTCTAGCTTTTCCTCCAACGTCCTACATTTCATAAAACAACAAAATAAAAAATCTGATCCAAGCAACACTTAAAAATCACAAAATTGAATTCAAATAATACAAAAATAATCAAAAGACAATCAAAAGCCCTAACCGGAATAGAAGAGATCGAAACTCGGACAGAAGCATCATCATCCTAGGCAAAAGACAAAAAACACAAACTAAAATTAAAATGATATTAAGAATGAACTCTATTGGCGAATTGATATTTGGTGAGTGATAAAAAATAGCTGAAATTCCACAATACAAATCTTAATTTAGTTGCATTTTAATAGCTCAAACTTATAATTTCATAACTTGAGAAACATCTTACCGCAGAATTTGTGTCAATGGTGGAGTAGAGTAGGCTCAGAGTAAAAATTCAATGGTGGAGATATAGAGAGTGGGAGAAGAGAGATAGAGAATGCTTTTTTTTTTTTCAATCAAAAGCAGACTGGAAGAGCGTGAAAGAAGAAGGGAAATGAATGGAATGGAGGAAATTAGGGAAAAAGTATAATTCGGTGACTCAACAAATTAAATGAAATTGCACCCAAATGCAAAATTAGTAACATCATATTAATTTGTTATCTAAGCTTACGTCTTTCGCGTGCTTCACTGGAAAGAATCTGAGCAAGCATTATCTGCCTTCATTCTTTAGCTTTGCTTCATTTCATAATGCCAAACAAACCAAGAAATTTAGCACAAATTAGAAAAACACATCAAACAAACATTAACTCTCAAATTAATCATACATTTTTCCCCTTCTTGAGCCTTCTATTGTTCAGGGTTCTGCTGACTTCCCTAATTGAATGAGGGATACAGTCAGTAAAATACTATACAGGGTGCAACAACAAATAAATCACACAAAAGCTTGAAAAATCTAGAGAACAAATCAACACAATTGATCGAGTTAATACCGAACCACCTCCGCCACGTTGTGCCATCAGCTCCTGCATTCTTCTTTGTCTGATGGCATCCAATTCAGGATCCGCCTATAAATACAAAACCCTCAGCATCCAAACAAATACCACAAACATGTATATTCCGTCATTATAACCCTAGAATTTCATGAAAAATTCCCAATTTACACTCTTAATCCCAAAATTTCAAATTAAAAACACACCCTAAAATTAAAAACCTTAATAATAAATTAACATGAAACACTTAAATTGAACCAGATTCCAGCTAAATTAGCAAACATACACATATATTTACACCAACAGTGAGTAAAAATTAAAATCAAAATAAACAAAAACAAAAACAAGAGGTAATCTAACATGTTTTGGCCAAGAATTGCAGAGTAAAACCCTTAATATAGAAAAGAAAGAGGAAGAGGAGAGAGAATTTGGACATACCATTGTTAATGGAGGTAAGGTTTGTAGCTAGCAGCAAAACCGAGATTCAGGCAATGTTGGAAGTTTGAAAAAAGCGTTAATGAAATGCAAGTTTTAGAGCCTCGTCTAGTGCGATGCAGGACAGTAGGAAGGTTTTAAATATGCTATTGCAGATTATATATTAATTTAATTTCATTTTAATAGCTCAAACTTATAATTTCATAACTTGATAAACATCTTACCGCAGAATTTGCGTCAATGGTGGAGTAGAGAAGGCTCAGAGTGCAACTTCAATGGTGGAGAGATAGAGAGTGGGGGAGAGAGATAGAGAATGCTTTTTTTTTTAATCAAAAGCAGAATGGAAGAGCGTGAAAGAAGAAGGATATGAATGGAATGGAGGAAATTAAGGAAAAAGTATAATTTGATGACTCAACAAATTAAATGAAATTGCACCCAAATGCAAAATTGTCAAACTCTAGCAATTTAGCAAGTTATGAATAGTGAATTTCATTGACTTTAGACTCATAACACTATTCCTTTCATGTTAGAGAAGTTCCCACTTTTTAAAGGATTAGGGATAGAGGTCATGTCTCAGTTTTTTCAATCATCAACTCTGATCAAGAAATTCTTGATACTCTCTCTCTTTTCTAAACTAGCTTTTCTCAAACAAAATTCTGTATTTATTGTTATTGTTTGATCACGCCTTTTTGTGCATGTTTAAACGGAATTTGTGCTTGTAATCACGCTTAATAAGATATTTAATAATCTTGTTTAGGGTTAATATGATTATAATTCAAGTGATCGCCAATAATAATTTTGTTTGTGCATTAATATTCAACCAACATAGATTAAACAAGTTTAGCGTAAACCTATTGATTGCATGTTAGTCAGAAAGCACACATGAATACTAGAAGAATAAAGTAGAGGCTTATTATTAGGGCAGGTTCTTTCTCTTTTAGATTGGATTTGTACCTTCATCCCAGAACTTCCAGTCATGGTTCCAGACCTATTGGAGTTGACGATCTCCTGCATCGTCAAAGGGAGTAACCTTCACCCTGTGAATGGTTTACAAGTTCCTAAAACTTATTGGCGACTCTTTTACTCTAGCTTCCTTCCCTTTGAACGCCACCATGCTTAAGTGTATGATCACAGTGGGGTTCAACTTTTGGGTAATGCTTGAAATATTCCCTACAAGTACTTACTTCGATACCTTGTACCTCTTTCTAATAACAAAATATATATGTTAGTAATTTCAAGGAAAATAATAAACATTTACATAATTTAAATACGGATTTGGGACCAAACCCTCAGAAATATCAAACCTTTCACGTCTAAGACGAAGGCAACTTCGAACTTGGCTAGGTGTGTCTAGAACTATTGAATGAGGAATTTTGAGAGAGGGAAGGTTTAGACAAAAAATAGAGAGAGAAAGCTTCTAGCTTTTAGAGAGAGAGATGATGGTTGTGAATGATGATTGTGAATTATTAAAAACGGGGAGATACGACCCCAATTTATAGAAACAATTATCACGGGATCAAAGCAAGTCATATTCGGAATAAAATACCTCCTGTCGCCAACGACAGGAGTCAGCGCCAAACGACAAGGGTAGCGCCAGGCGACAGCTGCATCGCTAGGCGACAGCTTTTAACGCCAGGCGACAACTCTGTTGTCTCGCGCTAATTCAAAAGTACAACGCTCTTTTGTACGCGGAATCATGTCCTTAAACCGGTTAAACAGGTAATTCCACGTTAAGGAGATTAAAATCATATTTGGTTCAAATAATATATTTTATTTAAAATAAAACATCTTTATAAAATACAATTATCAATCCTAATCTTATTAGAATTAAAAAGAACCATCTAGATATGCCTAGAAAATTAAAATCAATCCTAATTACTTTAGGAATAATAATTAATAGGTCCTCCTCTAGATCATTGGGCCACATGTAAAATTATTGGGCCTAATATATTTTAATCCATAACTTCCTCATTATTCATCGGAGTTGGGCTTATAATATATCGTCAGAAAGCTCTTTTCGAGCCCAATCCAGCTATACTTTTATTGGACCTTTATCATGGACCAAACTAAAACAGGACTGGATATTTTCATAAATAGAGTAAGAAAAGAAATATTTTTGAAAATAGAAAGAGAAATATTTTAATAAAAACATCCTCACCACTAGACTTTTCACACTTTCACTGCGTTCGATAATCAAATGGTTTGAAAGAAATTCATCACTGGGTTTGGTTTTGGGGAGACACATTTGGGTGTCTACAGAAGCCCCTAATTTGACTGAGTTTGGAGAAATGCAAGTTTTTGAAAACAAAAGTCAAAGTAACGATAGGGACAGAGAGTGATTCAGAACGTTCTGCAATCCTAAATCATTCTTGTAACGCCGATACCTGCAAACTAGCGTTAGTTGAACAGATAAAAGAATTAAGAAACGCATATCTTGCACTGTCGAGCACACGTGTATGGAGGAATCGATTTTGTTTGACAATATTCCTCAAGCTAGGGGATATCGCCTGAAGACTGCTCTGCTTGTAGCTGTCTTCAATTTTCCCTGTGATAGTTCTCTGTAAACTAGGGAACACCATCGAAGATTGCTCCGCTTATAGCAATCTTCTACCGTTTTTTTGATCATCTTCCACATTCTAGTGAATATGATCGAAGATAACTCAGCTTGAAGCCATCCTTCGTTGTTTGTGACAACTCTCTGCAAGCTAGGGAGCGTCGTCGAAGATAACTCCGCTTACAACCATCTTTAGTTGTTTGTGATAACTTTCTGCAAGCTAGGGAATGTCGTTGAAGACCATTCTGCTTATAACAATCCTCAATTTTGTTGTGATAATATTCCGAAGAAAATTACCAAAGACCACCGCTTGTTGATCCTCAATGCTCGCTTGAACTTTGCTGCTGTGATATTTGCTGAAATTACCGCTGTGCGAGTCGGCGCATTTTGCTGCTTGTGAACCATTACGTTAGTGCATTTGCGATGAGCAAATGTTTAGGCGCTTTAAGCTAAGTGAGATGATCATTTATCATGTCAATCACTTACTGTGATTGTAATCGAGTCGATTACTTAATCATGTCAAATTTCTTATAAGGGCTTACTGGCGCACCATGGAACCCAAAATTGTTGTATAAGGTCCGCATAGTATTTATGGCAGCCACACATCCTGTCGCCAGGAGATAGAGGTCAGCACCGTCGCCAAGATTTTTCTCTGTCGCCAGGCGATAGAGGTCAGCGCCTGGCGACAAACTTGTCGTCTAGCGCTGATGTCGGGTTTTCCGAAATAAAACCCCTTTTCCTCATCGTGGTTGTTGTTGTTCGTGTTTTCGCTCGAAGACTTAAATTCACTCGTTCTTGCTCGTTTGTCCACCAAATTCGCTTAAACCTCTTGCAAATCATATCTTATTTCATCTAGTTTCCCTATCCATGTAATTTTTTCTCAAACTTATCTCGGTTTTTAATGATTTTGAACATGTTCATGCGCGGGTTGTCAAAAAAAATCAAACCTAATTGTGCTTAATTCGCTCCGTTTGTTGAATTTTATGCCTTGAAATTGCTCGATTATGTTTATATATTACCTTTAGAGCATTTTGAGGCTTGTTTTACTCAATTTGGTGAAGAAATGAGCAAATTGCCATTGTTGAACCCCCCTGAGTTCGTGAGAACAATGTGACTTGTTCTTCGTATTTTTGTTAGCCATTCTTGTCCAATTTGTCACAATATTTAACATAGTATTGCAAGAATTTGTTTGATTGTTCAAAAGTGCTATTTATGCTTGAATTGAAATTATACTCTGTTTTAATACTACGTACTCTGTTTTTTGCGAACATAGTATCATGCGGCTAGGGGAATCTTAGATACTATAGAACCTTAATTTTCTGTTATTTTACATAATATAGCATGGCTAGATGACGAGTTTTCAGTTCTCGTTCTAAGGAGGCTCATCGGGAGGATGATCCCGTTGATGCAGGCGTAGGGACCTCTTCTTCCCTATGGAGGTTCCCATAGTGGGACGAACGCATTCTATTTTTTGCGCCCGAGTTTCACATTTCGGAGCGCGTTCGGCGAGGGATTTTCAGCGAGAGAGTTGTAGCCATGGTTCTTGCAACGCGACCATTGGATCCTTGTACGACACTTATTTTCGCAACTATAACGGTCCGCGCCTCATGTGGGAGTCTTGTGGCTTGACTCCTTTGTTGTGAGCCACCCGGGCTATGTAATCTTTCGGACAGAGCCACTACGTAGTTCAAACTTTGGTGGAGTTCTTCTAGGACACCACCAACACATTCCATTTTCCCTAGGGTGAGATGACTGTTACCCCTACTGACTTCAGTCTCATCACAGGATTGGAGTTTACTTCGGTCATGCTTCCATTCGATAACGAGATCTCCATTTTTTCTCCAGAAGTACTAGATCTGTTGGGCCCTATTAGCATTCGGCCTCGTAGTGAGTCTAATCAAACGCATCTCAGCTCTAGGTGCATTCGCTGGTCCACACTTTCGGAGGCTTTTCAGGACAGCGCGACCACCCAAAGCAGCGGGTGCGCATCTTCGCTCTCATCTTGTTGTAAGGGACCTTCTCGCCTAAAAAGGTAGTCGAGTGCTACTCTGCTACTTACCTGATCTTTGCGACCTTCACATGGTCGGGTCGTATAATTAGACTAGCTTGGCCTATGCGGACTTCCTAGTTAGACTCCGATTTGTTAGTTTTCATAGCTCATTCGAGGGAGATATCACGCTTTCCAGCTTTTGGAGAGTCGTAGAAGTACACTTTATTTCCTTTAGTTAAGTTAGCTCTAGATCTGTGTTGGCATTTATTGACATTTCTTTATCCTCATAGATCTTATTCTACGAGTACTTTCCGCCCCTCTCGCCGGCGAGACCTTCACCTCATGAGTTCCTCGTTGCTACCGGTTGGGGAGGTCGTCACAGTGATGCGGCTACTACTAGACGCGTTTGAGAGTTGATCCTCTTGGTATGTTCCTCGGATACTTACTTTTTATACCTTTAATAGGATTTTATCTTATGAATATGCATTTTGTTAGAGTCGGCCGTAGAGTTTCGGCCATGGGCATATTTCAACATTCCTATGCTTGCTGCGCAGCACACTGCTCAACGTCGGTACTTCCAGGGGACTTATGACACTACGGTGTATCTAGGTGAGAGAGTGGCTATTCAGCACTCCTCAAAGGCTTTTTTTGTTCATGCTCTCCCTTATCGGCATATATATGTTCGATAAGGCGAGATTGAGGACCTTGGCGAGTAGGTCGCTAGAGGGCACGCCTAACGGGCTCGTGCCCGTCCGGGGCTATGCTACACAGAGGCATTGC